TGGTGCAGTTGCAGCTGCATCTGAGTGACATTCAGTGGTATTTTAATAAGCACTTCTTTGGGGAATTTTTTCACATTTTCTCTGCACCGCAGTTTCTTTTTGTATCCGTGTTGCTTCACAACCTTGCGCACACATTCCGACAGACGTTGACACACAGATGGAAGTTGGTAACAGGCATGCAGAGCTAATTTCCCTCGCGTGATGTTACCCAGAGACGTCAAGCTGTCAGAATTGCGAAGAACCGCAGATGACATGGAAACTCAAGTACCAGAGATTTTTTTTGAAGAGTTCAGACCTTGACTTACCCCTCCTTTTCTTTCCCCTTTGTCTGCCACTGCTGTCCAAAATATGAGACATATTTTCTAACAGGAAATCAATAGGGAGTGTAGGCCCAGTTTGTTCAGTCTGCATTGAGCATGAAGGTTGACAAGAGACATCATGGATAGCAAAGCAGCTCTGATGTCCCTCTAGCTAATTGCTGCTGTCAAAATACTGCTGCTTTTTTCCATACTGTATTGGATCATCCAAAATCCAACAATCTGGAATCAGTTTTCCATGGGATATGCAAGGCCAACCCAGCTTATGCACTGCTGCTCCCCTATGAGAGCCCTTGTATACTATACATTTTTGCGGAAGAAGTCTCTTACTCTCTTGAATGCCATGTTTCCATGCATATGTGAGGTAGTCTCTCTTTTGTGCTCTCCATGTCTTCATCTGGAGTATTAGTTATATCCACTGGACCTCTTTCAGGATATATACTGAGTCAATGTCTTAACTAAATGGAAGAGTGATTCATCTTCCGATGTTCGATTTAGTAAGTCTAGTTAAAACATGCTAAATTGAACTCAGAAGGTGCCCCCATTGGCATCCAGGGCTCCTGCTTCTGTGAGGAGCATTTGTTCCTGTTGGCCTGCTGCTGTGGGGATGGTAGGGAAACTCAAAACAAGGTATATTGACTCCAGCTACGTAATTAACATAGCTAGATTTGTGTGTCTTGATTCAACCTTTCCTTCTAGTGTAGGCCTGGCCTGAACCTGAAGAAATGTCAAGAAGGCAGTTGAAGTGCAAGGACGGTGTGGGCGGCCACCAGACGAGCTTTCCCAACCCAATGCTCCACACACTAGGAGGTAGACCCATTGTTGGTGTCCACACACACATACTGCCCATGGTCACTAGTTGGAGTTGGGTGAGGAGAGGTCTATATTAACCGATCTGTACCTTGCAGAAGTGACCAGTACAGTCCTTACTGCAAAGTGGGGCTAAGGAGTCTCCTGCTCTGACTCACCCAGGTATGACTCAAGCTGTGCAGCTTTGTGCAAGACACTCTGTGCACTTTTTTTCTTGCTAATGTATTTTGATCAGAAGCTCTTCTGCCCAAGGATGGTCTTTAACAAAAGAGGTCCCTGTCTCAGTTGAGGCGTGTAGGTGCTACCCCAACACAGATGATAGGTTGTTTGGCATGTGTGCTCTTCCTGAGGGTATGCTTTTAGGGGTCCAGATAGGTTACTGACCCAATAAAACATGGAGAAACAATCTATTACACCAGAATAACCAAGTGGTTTATAATACAGAATTAAAATGTCACTGGATTTATAAGTGAATTTCTTGAGCGTGGCTGAGATGTGGGGGGAGGGAACAAAACAAAGTTTGGCACTGTTAGTCTCCATACTAGAATGGCTGCTGGAGTGGCATGGCATAATAGGCTTCTGAGATCTAGAGTCACAGGTTCAAATCCCAGCAGGGGTCACTCAGCCCATCTGTCTCCCAAGCAAATAAGCTGCATTCTAGGCTATAAATACACAGAGCATGGGATCTTTCAGGTTTGTCCCTCAATCGTCAAGGGCCTACATGGTCCAGATCACATGCCAATGTTCATTACAGGATGGGGTTTGCCCACGTGTCCTGGAAGCATGCTGTCTTCTTGGCAGCTGCCTTCTATCCTGGAGCTGGCTACATTTCAATGGCAAAAGGCTTTCCTGTCTGAATTTCATTTGTGAAGCACTTTGGCATGAACAGTGATACAAATATAAGATTATGATCAGGCATTAATTTATATCTCAGAATAATGCACAATAGTTAAATGTGCTTTTCTTTGTTTCCTTTCCCCCTTACAAAACCTTGCAACGTAGCACTACCTTTCTGTGATTTCCTCCCTCCCCCACACACCTCTTCCTTTCCCCCTAGTTAGAAATCAATGCTGAATTATGCATCACAGGAAAGAAAATGCATCAGCGCTTACAGTAGCATTGTTGCACATGGTGCTGTAGAAAGCTGCTTACTTGTAGGGGTTTTTTAAATTCAGTTTTTAAATACCTTTCCATGCAAACCAACTTTGACCGTGAATCTTTGTCTATTTACTTGGTAATATCTTCAACCTACACTGCTGTGACTGCATCCTTACCAGTTGAAGTATGCAGTGTTATTGTAGCAACATCTGTCCCAGGATACTAAAGACGAAATGGGTGAAGTGATATTTTTTACTGCACCAACTTCTGTGGGTAAGAGAGAGAAGCTTTCAAAGGATGCAGAGCTCTTCTGACTGCAGAAGTCTTCTGTTGACCCAGAACTATCTACGTGGGACTTAGGTCAGCTTAGCAGCACACGTCAGTCGTGTCCATTTTTCACACCCTGACAGATGCAGTTAAACTACCCTAATTGTCTCATATTGACCTGGCCTAAATTTATGCCTGTCTACTAGGTTTCTTATCAAACTGCTCAAACAGGCTTGTCTGAGTGCTTGTGTAATTACGATGGTGAAGGGAAAACACTTACCTAGTTATCTGAGTCTGTTCATCCAGATACTAGACAGTGAAGCCAAAAAACGATTGACTGGTATGAAGACTAAAAGCTCCTTAGTACTTTAGAGGTAAGGGACTGACTGTAAGTGTGGAAGTTGTGACCTGTTCAATTCTAACCCTAGCTCTACCCATGATGCTGTACAGTGAGTCACTTCACATTTTAGCTATAAAATGAGGAAAGATTGCCTCCTAGGAATCATGAAACCCAAGTGCATGAAAAATGCAGTAAATATCGAGCAAAGTAACATAACTGTAATATGTTTGAAAGACTATACTGTGAAGAGACCCGTTCTGAGGGCTCATCTCCACTTGCCCCAAGATTGACACATCAGAGATCAATCTCCCAGGATTCAATTTTAGTAGGTCTAGTAAGGACCTGCTAAATAGACACTGATGTGCCCCTGGGAACCCCAGTACTTCACTGGGTTTCAAGAAGTAAGGGAAGTAAATGGGAGAAACTCTCTCATTGACCTCCCATTGTGGGAATGCTCCAGAAATTCGAGCTAAGGTACATCGACTGAGCTATGCTATTCTCATAACTGGAGTTACATATTTTAGGTCCACTTTCTCCCTTAGTATAGACTTGGCCTGAGAACACAATGCTAAGCAGAAAGTTAAATCTAACTTTAATTTTGCTGCTGTGTCCTGAGCATTTAGCATCACCTTCTTTTAAAGCTCAATGTGTGGGATCAGTAGTTCTGAACTCAATGTAGAATGAACTAGTGTATGCATACCAACAGGGATGTACTTGTATAACCCCAGCATATAGTATTTAAAGCTGCCCACAGTCTCCCAACCAGGAGGTATAGTACAGAGTATGAACTTGGGTATTTAAGGGTTTGTCTTCAGAGTTGCTAAGCAGCTGGTAGCTTCCTTATACTTCCGTAGGAATGATAAGAGCTTGGCACCTGTGAAAATGGGGCCATAACTGTCCTTTCTTAGTAGAGAAGATTTTAAATGAGCTGAGTTAGCTATAGTGTGTTTCTTTTTTTCTTATATAACTACTACAGATGTATCCTTAAGTATAACAGTTAGACAATCCCCCAGCTACATAATGTATACTTAATATATCCCCCCAGAAGAAAGTGGTATAAATCAGCTTTTATTTGATGCACATGATCCTAACAAGACATCCAAAAACAGAAACATAACAAATGCACACTTCATCCAACACAGAAGAGGTAGCAACACCAATTGAGAACAGATATCGTAAAGTAATAGAACAAAAGAGTCTGCTTTCACTGCATCTTTTCAGAGCCTAACAGAGAATATACAAAATGTTAACCTTGATATCAGTCCTGGAGTTACTGTTAGTAGGATTCAGGAAATCCACTGTAGCTGTAATACCTCAAGTATGTATTTTTAAATGCATCTTTCATGTGATGTATACTCCGCTAACTAGATATACCAAGTCTACATATGTTTTCTGAATGGCAGGCTTTGGCTTCTGCAAAACACCAATAAGCTTTGAGCTAGGGGCTTGTTCCAGGGAGCAGGATATCTGCACTTGCCGTTCTGATGTGTTCTTCAGGATCTAAAACTGTTTTTCTATGACTGTTGAGTATGTGGTTTTTGGTATAAATATTACAGTGTAGCTAGGGGTTTACAATAAAACAATGGCTTTATCAAAATAGACTATCGAAAGTGGTCTCAAACAGTTGCTGTGTGAAATTAAATATGCATTTAACATACAGAGCTCCAAGGCATTCCTTTTTAGGATCAGAAACTACATAATGGGCACTGTCCTGATGCTCAGAGTCCAAATAAATGTAGAGGCATCTATACACATGGAGCTCATTGCAGAAGTGCAGTTTTACTCTCCTGGTACTTCACTTAGGGATTGTAAATAGGGTTTGCCCAAGTGCTCCAGGAGCACAAGTTTTTCCTTGACTTTCCAAGAAGCTGTGAGTGGATACTAGGGGACAGATCTCACTGATTGCCTGTTCTGGTCATTCCCTTTGAAGGATTTGGCAATGGCTACTGTGAAAAGCAGGATACTGGGCTAGATGGACCTTTGGTCTGACCTGTATGGCTGTTCTTATTTCTCACTGTTGCTGATGTTTCTGCTACTAAGTCACTTCGGCAATTCTGAAGAGCTCATATTATGTCTGTACTTAGCATGTAAAACACTAGCTAGCTCAAGACCTGTTTACATAAATGTAAAATAAGTTACTTCAGAGCAGAAATATTCTCTGATGTGAAGATTTTTGAAGTAAAAGTTTATCTTTTAAAACATTTTTATTTAGATTTTCTTTTTTACAATGTTATTCTCTTAGAACCTCCTATCCAAAGAAACAAGAAAACTTTTCATTTGAACAGAAAATTGCTGAAGCAGTTACTTTTGTAGCTGCAAGTAGAACAGTATTCTTGAAGCCACATTTCACTCCAAAGCGCCTGGCTGCCTCCTTTCCAAAAGGCACTCTGCCACCTTCCACCAACAGCTATGTGGGGATTACCCACCTTCCAGAAGCACAGGAGGCAAATGGAGATTTTATTAGATGTAGCCCTAAATTTATCACACATGCTACTCCAGCATTATACTTACTGCTCATGTCATTTAATACTGACATACAAACATAATTACAGATTCTTTTGCTTGAAAACTATACTTTTTCTTTGTTTTTTTTCCCCCCTGAAATAGGAAGACTTCTACAGACCAAGAGGAGTTTCCTTCACCTGTGTAACATTTCTTAATATTAGCTATATTAATACTTCATTGAATGTGATTTCAATTTAAAACAGGGAATTGTGCCAGTTCCCAGCATGCTTCCTTATTTACCATTTGTCAGCCATCCTGTTCACTGTCAGCAAAAGTCACAAATAAGTTGTTTTTTTTTTAAATGCAGTTTAGCTTTTAGCAGAATTGAGGATTTACTATTCTCTGAAACTCAGGCGAGAGATCAGTGGTCCAGGAGCATCCCAAGTCATCTTGCTAATGGTGGTATAAGCAAACAACTTCAAAGCAGGAGGAAGACAGACAGCTGTACAGTTTCAGCATTCGCTGCTGGCGAAATCTTTCAGAAACATTGACTGTGGCCTCAAAGGAGACGGTGCATATGAGTGGAATGGGAAGCGAGAAGAGGCAGCGTCCAGAAGGAAGCATAACTGGAACCCACAGTCTCTTCATAATGTGATAACTGACCCAGAGTGAGTATTCCTCAATAGTTCTACACTAAAGGTAAAAAATAAATTTCATTCAGTGATGCCAAAAGACTTGAAATCCACAACGGAGCTGTTATTTAGGAAGGAAAAACAGCCAGTAGATGTGTCAAAGCCTGCGTTTTCCTTATAGGCAACTTTTAAGGCGTAGAACTACAAGAACAAAATAGCCCTAAACCCAGAGGCAGCTGCCATCTGTATGCCATTCATTTTTCAGAAAGGTGAATAAAGCTGAGAGAGTCTTATAAGGCATGTTACACTGGACTAAGGCAGCTTCTACCCCTTCGGAAAAGCTGTTTGCTAGCCTTTGTTTACTGTATTTCTTGAGTTTGTATGTTAAGATGGGGAAAAAAGCTTCAATACAATGTAATAAGGGAGTGCTGGATGGATGGACACTGCTGATAATGTTTATCTGATATACTCCTCCTCAGAGATGCCAGATATGTCTTCATCGGTGCTTTCCTCCAAATCTGGCAAGTTGCCCCAAAGCAGTAAATTCACACCTGGAAAAAAAATTGTAAATAATTGAATTTGTTTCCAGACCTTATTTGAGTCAGGTTAAAAACTGAATTCATTGCCACAAAATAAATAGCTCTGGTCCCCACAAACGTATTAGATGAAATTAGACAGTGTTGCCCAGGTCTTAGTTATTTTCTATTGTTATTCAAAAAGGATCTCTAGAAATATCCTTTTGAACTACACTCTAGTAGCAATAAATCCAGTATTATGAGTAATGTGAAATAATCATGTCGCTATTGGTAATCCCCTTTTGGACGGGTAACATTAATTGCATTGAGTTGAGGCACTGTGAAACTGTTTAGACTACTTCACCATGTGTATGAGAAACAGTAATACAGATGGCATTGTGAAAGGACACCTCCTTTGGGAAGGACCCAAAAGGACAGATTATGCTAGAGATACTTGTAATTGGTGCTCCAAGTAACTGTTAAAAAGAAGCTCAAGAAAAATAAATTTTAAGGGCTAGTATCTGTTGTAGCTTCAGCCTAAGATGGGGCAGGCAATAATTTTTGATGGGGAGCCACTCCAAGATTTTGGTAAGTGATCATGGGCCACAGTTTTCTATGCAGGGGTGCACAGTCTGGGACAGATTGGGTGCAGAAGGGAGCTCAGGATAGGGAGCTGGGTGCAGGTGTGGGGTCTGAGAGGGAGTTTGAGTGAAGAAGAGTATTGTGATCTGGGGCAGGGAAATGGGGTGCAGGGTTAGGGAAGGAGGATGGGTACAAAAGAGGATTCTGGGGTAGGGAAGGATTGTAGAAGGAGGTGCAGGATTGGGAGGGAGTTGTGCACTGAGGTGGAGGAGTACAGAGGATCTGGGTGATAACCTGGGGCAGGCGGAGATAGTGACCTGGGACAGAGAGCTGGTGGGGAAGGAGAAGGTGGAAGGGTGCTATAGGAAGGCTCTTGCTGGGTGGTGCTTACCTAAGCAATTCTTGGCCAGCAGTCCTGCGGGACCCCAAGGCTGGCTCTCTGCTTGCTGCAGTCCCAGACTGCTCAGAACGACTGGCTGCTCCCTGTGGCTTTCTGCTCCAGGCATGAGGGGGAAGGAGAAGCTTTGCACGCTGCCGCTGCCCCCAGTAAAATCTCTCCACTCCTATTCTCCAGTTTCTAGCCAATTGGAACTGAGAGATTTTGCTGGGGGCAGAGGCAGTGCATAAAGTCGTCTTCTGCCACTGGCTCCTGGAGCAGAGAGCCACTTAAAGTGGTGCTGGGCTGCTCTGTACTTGAGGTTCCCAGTGGGGTGGCTTGACGGGCTGGATTTGACCTGTGGGTCATATCTTGCCTGCCCCTGGTCTAAGATAATGGAGAAATCAATAAAAAATGTATATAGGGTCACATGGACAATACAGTTCAGATTGATCAGTCAGTGGAGGGTTGCTTAATAACACAGTGAAGCTATACACACTGCTTTAAATAAGAATCTTTGTGTCTGTTTATACCATTTTTATTTGTGCAGTTATCATAACTGTATTGTCTCAAAGACCTGACTTCCATCAGCAAGCATGTGACTTTATATTCCATATGAAAATATGCTTTGGTATGAATGATATAACTATAACTGAGATGTACTTTATGCAAGACTAGAAGATTTGCCCAGCATTGCTTGGGTCCTTAACTTGATTAATTTTTGTTTTTCTTCATTTAAACCATTGCTCTGGGGTGGGCCTGGGATGAGGGTTTCAATATGTGGACTACCCTGGGGGGAGAGAGGACTATCCTAGCCCTCTCTCACTGTAGCAGCTTGGGGCCAGGTGAGAAACACCTCTCCACATTAGCTGCAGCTCCAGCATGCACAGCTCGGGGAGGAGTGCATGTCCCCAGCTGAGGCAGGTCCAGGTTCATCTGCCCAAGGCACTCCCCAGCCGGAATGAGGAATGCAGCAAATTGCACTTTCCCCTTACTTCCTGATGAAGGGGAACAGCCCGTAGGAATGTGGGGGAGAGGCTTCAGCTCCTCATGCCCCCTCTAAAGGATGTGGGGGGCAGGGAGGCTCAGAGCTGGGGCAGTACCGGTTGGGGGGGGGGGGGACTCCCTCAGCCAGTTGCTTTCATCTACCCAGTGATTCTGTCTCTTTTTTTCTGTATGGCTTTATGAAAGGTAGCCTCATTCAAGAAACATCACATTTTTCCTGGAACAACCAAACCTCTACCTTGCTGTAAGTTATGATAAGAGGAAGCTGCATAACAGATGAGGTGGTCCTCGCTATTACCATTCAAGAAGATGTCTTGAACAAATAGACAGATCGACTCTCTCAAATATATGGTAGATAAACCATATAAGGTATCATTGGAAATGTTGGGACTTACTAACTATAACTATCCTATTTGTATGCATGTTTCATTTTTGTATCTGAAATTAGAAATACTGACTTCGTATCTGGATTCCAACTATGCTACTTTGGGTGATGCTCATTGGCTATCACTTCAGGTACCACAATGTAAAAGCCAGACAGGACTGATGTCCATCAGTGATGACACTCCATACTGTCTCTTTGTGATAGTAGACAGAGGTGATCTGATCACTGTAGGCTAACCACGACTTAGGATGTCTGTACTATTCAGTGGAGGGATGGGTATTCAAACCAAGGATGGTTTCAGTGGGATCTTCAGCACATCAGGTGGCCTCCCAGAGGTCCAGTCCACCACAAAGAGGTCAGTGTAAATTTTTTAATCAATTAATCTTACGGCCTGATGCCTTTTTTTAAAGCCACACAAAGTTGAGGCCGCTTAATACTGCATTTTAGACACTGTGTAGGCTCCAGTGACATGAACAGTTTCCTCAGACAGACTGTGGGGAAGGAATGCTATCTGCTTAGAAAGGCAACTCATTATAGACTTGCTATATACTTTGAGTCAACTGCATATGCTTTGAGATACCTTGCTATTGGGAGGAGAGTGGGGGAAATTGCCAGTAAACTCTTCTATGAATTTAATAGAACTTCCATGTTCAGAATTAAGAGTTCCTTACCAGAGGAGTCCAGTCTGTTTACACCAAAGACTGCTTGGCTGTGAAACATCCAGAAATGTCCATTGTTACAGGACAGCAGGCACGGTTTGCATGGAGCAATCACATGGTAACCTACAACATTGCCACTAGAACAAACAAACAAAATATAATGACCATGTAAGTTCTTGGATGAAAGTTTGCGCTGAAGAAACACTAAAGGTTAACGTTAAAGAGAATCTAACCATTTTACTAGGCAAATTGGTGTTCAATGTCTTCATCTGGAGAAAATGTAAAGATGAGTTTTTAAAGCAGTGGTGCATAAAGTGTCTGAATATATTTAAAAATCAGTGGTCCTGTGGCATCTTTGAGACTAACAAAAAAATATGAGCTTTCATGGGTAAGTCCCACGTCATCAGATGAGCTAGAGTGGAAATAACAGAATCCAAGAATACCTATATATGTATTAAAAAAGTAGTACTTGTCAATTGTAGGACCCATGTTAATGAAGCTAATTATGTAGGCTGGATGTGTTCCATTCATAGCTTCGATGTGAAAATGCAGATGTTAAATGCCGGGTAAATTGGCTTTGTAGTGTGTTAACCTGTTAAGACCAGGGAAACAGTGTTACATTGGTAGATAAATTATAGTTCTGAATACATTTACTTAGAGAAAGAGGATGTATGTGGAGATGCACAAGACTTATATTTCTTAGACAGTCTTGTCTTATACAGAATTTGGATATTTGCAGTGTTACACGAATGTCCTGTAACTTAAGTCTATGAAGCTTTTTAAACCAGATCTCCCCAGTGAAATCAATGAAGATTCACCTTAAAACTGGTGGTACAATAAGACCCTATAAAAGCTAGGTAATTAGCTTGGGGTGTATATATAGTCCTGATTTTGCTCCATTGAAATAAATGGAAATTAAGGGTTTTAGCAGGATGAGATTTTGGCCCAATTTATTTACCTGTAGATTCCTTTCCACCCCCAGCAGTGCGCACAGAAAAAAGTGTGTGCTCTCTAGTTTAGCATCTGGACCAAACAGAGTTCCTTGCTAGTCAAGTCTCTTGGGGGGGAAAAAAAGAACACCTTGCTGTTTTTAGTCCAAGAACCTTCCTGTCCAAGCTCAAATCCAAGCATGCTGAATTTTTAGACCAAGCAGATAAATAACCCTGAGCGGTTTAGCAGATTTTTTTTTAAAGAAACAGTATCTTAAGTATCAAGCATCAATAAAAATAAACAGCTAGCTCCAGGAACTTTCAAGTTAACTTTTTCCATCCGTTAGTGAAGACTAGGTCTGCCAACAGCATGTTCCGTTACAGCAGAACCTCAGTTTTATGAACCTGTTATACAAATCTACTGTAACTGATATATTCAGCTTTATGAACTCCTGAATCCCCAATTAGTTTATAAAATAGGAGTTCTCTGCTGTATCTGTTTTAATAAAGTGGAAGATAGGAATAAATGCATTTCATTGTGATAGTGACAGCTCTCTTTTTGGAGTTAACTGGGTGCTACTCAAGTTTTCTATAGAACCACACTTTAGTCTTGATATGCATTGTCCCAGCATTTCTGCTAGAGAATTCTACAATGATAGACTAATAGTCATGTCCAAATGTAGTGAGCCAAGTTTCCACTGAGCAAAGTTGTATCAAATTCACTTCATTTGTGACCCAAGCACTTGCATTTGTGTGATTAGTATGAGATGTTGAAATGTTATTGCTGCAGCACATGCACTGCTGAGCAGGTGCTTGTATGGTTATGAGTCACATTAAAGTGATATTACTTACCATTTCAGACATGCAATGTTCTTCAATTTACATTTGCAGATGTCAGTGAAATAACAACTTCCAATGAAGTCAACAGTACTGGATGGGAAATAATGGTCACAGAAACAGTTTAGACATTTAACATAACTTCACCCAGATACCAGTAAGTTAGAATTGCAACAAACCAGTGTTCGAGGTTTGTACTTTATTTCCCTTTACAAACACCTACCTGCTATCATCTAGTCTCCCTCCATCACCAATCACAGTAGTCTCAAGATAGCAAATATATCTATATATTCCACCAGAACACTCTAAGCCAGCACATGATAGTTTTCAGGAAATGGCTCCCCTGCCCTAGGAACAGAGCTTTAGTAAGGGTGCCATTTTGACTTTATGAGCTTTCTTTGTGTAAATTTTTTTTTACAAAGTAAAACTGTTTTATTTGAGATCTTGGTGCTCTTTGGGGCCTATGTTGCAGGGCACTGAGCTCTCCCAGAGCTGAGATGATTCACTGTGTTATTCTGCTAGGGACAGTAACCCCAGCTCTGTGCCGTGGCTGGGGGAGACTAGAGCTTCTAGCCCAGAAGGACAGGATGGTGGGAAGCCCCACAGGGCAGGAATCACTGGATTGATCAGCACACCAGGTAGGTGATATGATTTGGCCCTGTCTACACTTGCCTTTAAACATGCTGAAATGGTACTCAAAACTGTTTGTTGCAGACAACCTAAATCTTTATCTACCAGGAACCAGTGTTCTTAACAGTAGGGCTTCCAGCAGTGGAGGGCTGCCGTAAATTTCCAGCATTTTAACCACTCACTTAAAGGGTCTACAAAAAAAATTGTGTATGGGTTAGCCTAGCTGAGGTAGCTTGAGTCCAGCTAGCTTGGGTAAAAATCATAGTAAAGCTAGCACAGGCTTCAGAGTGAGTACTTCAAATCTGGTATAGATGTTAGGTGCTTCATCAACATCATCAGAGGTTCTCTCTCAATTGGTGGATGATCACTAGCATGGATGTACATATGGGTCCTCAAATGACTTAGGAGTTCAATTCTGGAACTTCATATCCACTTGTGTATCTGTAGATACTTCCTAGCAGGCCAACTGCCTGCTGGGAGAAAGTTGGGTTTTTTTTTCCTTCCTTCTCTTCAGCTTTGAGAGCAAGGCACTTCTTGAAGTGAGCTACTACTTGATGGAGGATGTGCTTCCCCTCCCCTTGGGTTTGGTTGCAGGCCTGCTCCTCCCAGCTTTTGGTGTCCACATCACTTTACTTTACATTCACTTTTAATGTGTATTTTGTAATTAATACTTGGCTTGCTAGCCCACTCTGAAGCCTGAGCTGTCTTTCTTCTGTTGTTACCCATGCTACCTGGATTTAAGTTAGCTTGGACAGACTAGCTGATGATAGCTTTTGCTGTGTAGGTGTACCTTTAAACCTGATGATGCTAGAAGCTGGTAGCAGTTTATTTATATCAGGACTCCCAGGTCCAAAGACTATAACTCCAATGGGGAATTACTTCTGTTCCTTACAATGAATATAGCCAGCTTCAGCACTAGGTCAGTTACCTCCCGCAGACAAGGTCATTTCCAGACTTAACATTTGTATGTCAATTTCTTCTTCTGGAAGGTGGAATAGTATTACCTAAATCAGATATTGCCTCAACCTACATCCTCTGAGGCTTTGTGATTTTAATGTATTCTGATCTTCTCTGTAGAAAAGTCATTAAGAGCTCACTAATGTTGTCAAATACTCTTCAGTAATGGGGTTTATACAATAGATCTTAGATAGGTAAGCTTTGTCAACTCCAATTTATATTTAGTTGTCAGTTTGTTTCAATTTAGAAAAACAAATATCTTCAAAACAATCTGATCTTCCCTAGTTTAGGGCTGTTTGACCTTGCAGTCCTTCCTAGCTTTCCACCAGTTGGAACACTAGTTCAGGCAGCCACTAACATTTCAACTACAGTATTGCGCAGACCCTGCTTTAAGCAGTGCTAGATGAGACAATAGGTAGAACGGTGACAGTTGGTTTACAGTAGTATTTCCACCGCTAGAACTGCATCAATGGTAATGTAAGTACAGACTTAATGACAAAAGGGGCAATTTGTTTACATAGCTTGGTATGTACAGGGTTCAGTGCACCACTGTCCAACATTCCATCTCATGGCTTGGAATTGTGTATACTCGTCCATTCATTGTGTTAATGGGTAGGAAAAATGGTCCTGAGAGTTGAACTTCTGTATGCAGACATACAAGTTTAGTTAAGACTTCATGCTTCCTATTTTGATACTTACAGTTTAGATCCTCAATATATTAGCCCCCCCCCACTCCAAGTCTAACTACTAAACCATTTGCCATGGAGGGGGGGAAATCAATTATTACATAATTTCCTGAGTCACAAACACAGATCACTATTTTAATTTTGTACTGAAATATGTGGTCTACAGAGTTACATACTTAGTTTTGTAGTTAACACTTTACAAATGTAATCCACAGGTAGGCGTTAAGGTACGCCATCCAGCTATACAAAATGTATAGCTGGATTTGGCTTATTTTAAGCCGAGCCGCGATGGCATCTATGCTGCAGGAAGCCAATGGGAGCACATGTTTCCACCGGCTTCCCTTACTCCTTGTAGAATGAGGAGTACTGGACACTGTCGGGGGCTGCCCTCCCTGTTCGATTTAGAGGTCTACATTAGACCTGCTAAATTGAACAGTAGAAGATTGACCTCTGGAGGGTCGATCTTCTCTGTAGTGTAAATATGCCCTTTGTGTATAATAACCATACATATCACTAACTTGTATTTGTCAACCAGAAGTGTATGAAAGACATTTTAAAGCAGTTCAGAACATCTACACCAGGAACTAGGTGTTTATTGTAAACCTCAAATGAGAGCACAGAACAATGGCTTAGTGATTAGAATGTGTGTGTTTTTTTTAAATAAACCTTGTTTTAAAAATTAATTTTAGTCCATCTTAGTTTTTCCTTTTAATCCATCTTTACAAATTAAGAAAATGTAAATGACAAAGTATGTTAATAGTTAGTTTACTAATATTTAAATGTTGCTTTGCCATATTTGTTCATCCTCTGATTCCAGATTAAATTGGACCAATTAGGAATTTAAAACAAAAATCTTGCTGTCCTTGCTTAACCCTGAAACCCAAATTGGATTCTGCTTCTTTCATCTTCATCAGTAATGCGCTCAACTATTCTGTTGATGTGAGGCCAAACAGAATACAACTTGCTTTCCTTGACTGATTCATTCCTGCACCATTAAGAGTAAAAATCATGTTTCTATCCATAAAATAGATAGAAAGTAACTGTCTTTGATTGTGATGATGTTTTTACAGAACCACTGAACAACATTTATTTTTTCTCAGGCTAGACTTGAAGATATGCCAGTGAACAATCTTATTATCCATCATCTAAAATCAATGCTCTCAACCCTTCCAGAATACTGTACCCCTTTTAGGATTCTGATTTGTATTGCATACACCCAAGTTTCACCTCACTTACATTAGCTACTTATAAAATGAGAAATAAAAACGAGCATGTTGTTTAATCACAGTTAACCCATGCTATTATTTCATAATAATGATTTTTAAAACTGATTAATCACACTTAATTGCATAGTTAAACAATGGATTACCAGTTGAAATGTATTAAATATTTTGGATGTTTTTCTATCTTTTAATATATTTATTTCAATTACAACACAATACAAAGTGTTTGGTTCTCACTTTTTACATTATCTTTGATTAAAAATATATGCATTGTATAAATGGTAAAAAAGAGAGAATTTTCCATTCACTTCATACAAGTACTATAGTACTTGCCCTCTCTATCGTGCAATGCAACTTTAAAATGTAGATTTTTTTTGGGGGGGAGGGGTATAAAACTGCATTCAAAAATAAAAGAATGTAAAACATTAGAGCCTACAAATCCACTCAGTACTACTTCTTGTTCAGCTGATGGCTAAGACAAACAAATTAGTTTATATTATGGGAGAATGCTGCCTACTTCTTATTCACAATGTCACCTAAAAGTGAGACGAGGCATTCACAAGGCATTTAAGCTAGCATTGCAAGGTATTTATATACCAGATATGCTAAACATTCCTACTCTTCAGGGTACAGCCACCATTCCAGAAAACATGCTTTCATGCTGATGCTTGTTTTTTAAAATATATATATATTTATAACAACTCCTTGGGGGAGAATTGCATGTTTCCTGATGTTTTATATGCATTCTGCCATGTATATTTCATGTTACAACAATCTCAGATGACCTAGTACATGTGTGTTATAAGATCACTTTCATTGAAGATTTGACAAAATGTAAAGAAGCACTAATGTAAATTTCTAAAAATAGCTACAGCACTTGACCCAAGGTTTAAGAATCTGAAGTGTCTTCAAATATCTGACCGGGATGAAGTGTGGAGCATGCTTCCAAAAGTCTTAAAAGTGCAACGCTCTGATGCAGAAATTGCCGAACCCCAACCACCAAAAAGGAAAAAAAATCAACCTTCTGTTGGTTCTGATGATGAAAATGAACATGCATGGGTACAAACTGCTCTGGATGATTATCTTGCATGGATATATGATCCCTGGATTGGTGGCTGAAGCATGAAGTGAGACATTTAGCATATGTGACGCATAAATATCTTATGATACTGGCTGTAACACTGCCAAATAAATGCCTATTTTCACTGTCAAATGACATTGTAAACAAAAAGTGGGCAGCATTATCCCCTGCAAACGTAAATAAACTCGTTTGTCTGAGGCTGAGCAATTGGCTGTATGGGAAGTAGGATTGAGTGGACTTTCTAAACTCAATGTAAAACTTGTTTTATTTGTGAATACAGTTATTTTTATATAGAAGTCTACATTTGTAAGTTCAGCGTTGGTGATAGAGATTTCACTACAATACTTGTATTAGGTGATTTTAAAATGCTATTTTATTTTTTACAAAACAATACATGTTTTGTATTCTGCATGATAATGAAAATAAAAATATTTGAAAAGGTAGAAAAAAAATTTAAATAAATGATTTTCAGTATAAAGGCGCAATTGTTAAACAATTGTGATTACGTTTTTAAACATTTGACAGCAATAACGTAAATACAAAAGTGAAACAGCATATCAGTACTGAGAAATGGTGTTCTTTTTTTTTTAACCACAAATTGTAAAAGCAATTGGAACTTGCATATTGTATTTACATTTCAGTGTATAGTACTGAGAGCAACATAAACAAGTCGTATGAAATTTTAGTTTGTACTGACTCATGTATTTTTATGTAGCTTGTTGTAAAACTAGGCGAAGATCTGCACACTTCCTCCAGGTTCAGAGCTAAATATCACTTGTCAATGGGGGTCAGGGCTGAGATGCACTTCCAGATCTAATATTAACAGTCTGACATCTTGTGGCAAATCACTTAGGGGACACTAGTTAGGTTTAAAATAATTTCAGCTTATATTCTTACTTCATTACTTGCTCTTGAACAACAATTGAAGCAAATGCAAAAAAAAAAATCTAGTTTACCTTCTGTCATTTACGTAACTTACATTATTGTAATTAATCAAACTGGGAATGAAGCATTTAAGTGTTGGAAACATCCTACTAGAATTTATACTGCACCTGTTTGAGGATATTACTTGACTATAAATAAAAATAGACTAGTTACTGATTTGAAACTGGAGTGAAACTGACACTTTCAAGTCACTTTCACTTCTATTTAAAGGGTTGCCACTTTCCAGAAGGCTCTCAAATACATTGATTGAATCTCACTTGTCACAGAATATTTAAAAAGAAAGACCAAGACATTGTCACATTTTAAAGATGAGGAAAAACGAGTATTGCTCATTAGTTAGCGTTTGTATATAAATGTTATATAACATACCATTCTGTGTTTTGACTGTGGCTTAGTTGCTATTGCTGTAAAATAGAAATACTTGCTTGCCCATAAGTGTTAGTGGCTTGTAAGGAATAGACTGAGATCGGTGGGGCAGGAAGTGGGCTTTCTTAACGGTTTGCACGATGTCTCGTACGCTAGGGGATTCCTGCTAATTAATGTCTTTGGGCGGCCTAGTGTAACATTGGTGCGCTGTGGAGTTGCCGGTGGATGGCGAGCGAAGGGGACTTACCTGGTGGGTGGGATGTCCGTGGAGTAGAGGTCGATCTCGGTGTTGGCCAGCAGCACAGCCTTCATCCCCCGGGAGCTCAGCACCTGCTGGCAGAATCTGCAGCACAGCATGGACACGCACCTGTCCTTGAAGCTGCACCCACTCGTGGACATGGCGGCTCTGGCTCCCAAGGGCCTGGCTCCTCTTCCCACAGTGCGGGGTGGGGGCGCCTTGCTTCTTTGAGGGCCAGCTGCCCCCCAGGCCCACTGCCCGGCTCCTGCCCCCCCAAGACTGTTTTTTGGCCCCCCCCTTCGGGATCCTTGCCCTAGGGACTATTCCGCTTCAGCTGCGCTGTCCACACTCACTGCCCCTTCCCCTGGAGGCTGACACCCCTTCCCCCTCCAGGCTGCAGCACCGTCCCACAGGCGCTGGGCTCCCCCTACCCCCTGCAGTGGGGGCCCTATGTGGTCCCGTGCCACGGGGCACCCTGTGCTCCGTCTGCTGCCCCCCCCGCTACTGGGGGCCCTGTGCCCCCTCACCTGACCCCCACCTGCCCTATGCTCCCCTTTCCTGGCTTGCCCCACCCCCACGGTTCCCGCTGACTGTCCTCTTCCCCCTCCCCCCCTTTCTTTTTGCCTCGCGCCGGCTGAGTCTGCTGCGTCGGCCCTGCTGCCGTTAGACCCCAACGGGCAAGCCCCCCACGAGCCTCTCGCTTTCAGACCTGTCAGACTCCGTTTGAATCCCCATCCTCGCTTCCCATTGGAGGGGAGCGAACACTCCCCTAGAGCCCGATTGGGGGGGATTGGGACTAGGTCCGCCTCTCCCAGCGCTTAGGACCCGCCCCCTCCGCTCCTCGTTGGAGGAGTCCTGAGACAGAGGCGGGGGCGGGAG